TAAGAATGGAATTGGTCAATTTGCTTACTGCTTATTTCTTACTACTATTCCTACTGCCATTGTAGAAGACGCTTTAAGCAATAAGAAAAACTTAAGCAATAAGAAATAAGTAGTAAGCAAATTGATCAATCGAAATTGACAAATCACAATTGACTATACTCTTTAGGTTATTCTCGAAGAATAACCAACTATGATTGGTTAATTTGCTTACTGCTTACGTTTTATTTTTTAAAGCATGATCTACAATGATGGATAATAAGCGTAAGAAGTAAGAAGTAAGAGTAATAAATTGACCAATCATAGTTGAGTATTTTTCTCAAATTCGATTGTAATTAGTCAATTTCTTACTCTTAAGGACCATCTACAATGAGATTGGCAGTAGGCAGTAAGACGTAAGTAGTAGGCAAATTGACCAACTACGGTTGATTATTCTTGTAATAATCAACTGTGGTTGGTCAATTTGCCTACTGCTTACATCTTACTGCCCACTGCCAATCTCATTGTAGATGGTCCTTTACTTCCAATTTCTTACGCTTACTGCCCATTGTAGATTACGCTTGAGATTTTCCATGTGCTCCTACCTTTCGGGCCGTGATATACAGAGGAACTTAAGCAATAAGATTAACCAATCACAATCGACGAATCTCCTTACGGTCCAAGAATCAATGACTTATTGGTCAATTTGCTTACTGCTTACGTTGTATTGCTTAAGTTTTTCTGTGTGCACGGTCCTTAAGTTAGTGGCACACAGAAAAACTTAAGCAGTAAAACGTAAGTAGTAAGAAAATTGACCAATCACAATCTTTGATTCTTGGACCGTAAGAAAAATCAGCGACTGTGATTGATCAATTTTCTTACTGCTAACGTCTTAAGGAGCATCTACATTGAGAGTAAAGGGCTCCGCATACAAATTGACATAACAGTAACGTAAGAGGTACCGTAAGAATTGACTAATCACTCTAAAGCGTCTTCTACAATGGCAGTAGGAGTAGTAGTAAGAAATAAGCAGTAAGCAAATTGACCAATTCCATTCTCACGTTTCAAAAATAATCGATTGTGATTGGTCTATTTACTTACTGCTTATTTCTTACTACTACTCCTACTGCCATTGTA